CCCAACAATTGTTTAGGACGCTGTTTGTGGGACCATGCCCATCCGCTGTGTACAGACAGTGTTTACCCATGCCAATGTCCAATGAAGCAGACCGCAACACATGTCTGCTGATGGGTCCCATACCCCACGTACAAACCGCCCTTCACCCCTCGCAGAGACGCATCATTAGGCTCCGCTTGGAGCGACTGGCTTGCTTCGTCTGAATCCAAGAGTGCCACCGGTACTATATAGAGTCTAACATGAGTCCAAGATGCAGTCATGTGCCCAACGTCCTGTACAAAAACGGCGGAAGAAACCCAACAACGAAACCCCTTGCCAGGGCCCGCTACTTGGAACAAGAATTTTGCCAGATGGGATATTTCATAAGCAGAATTTGGGAACAGAAAATCAGCTGTCAGCATCCTGGAAAGGAACAACCGCCAAATCGTGAAGGCTTTACTTGTCATTTTTGGGATCCGCTCAAAATTGTAAAAAGTTGGGGAGGTCCTATCCTTGTCTTCTTTCGATGTCGCTCCAAATCCTTCACGGGTTGGGGGCGTCCTATCCTTGTCCTGTTGCGGAGCCGCTCCCAATCGTGAAGGGTTGGCGGGGATCCTATCTTTGTCGTTTCGGGAGCGGCTCCAAATCGTGAAGGGTTAAGGGGGTGCAACCGTTGTCACAGGATTCCTATCCTTGCCATTATGGGGAGCCGGTCCACATCGTCGTGAAGGGTTGTGGGGGGCGCATCCTTGTCCTTTTAGGGCTGCTCCAAATGGTGAATGATTTGGGGGGTGCAGCCCTTGTCGAAAGTACGTCACGGCAAAACTCCTTAGTTTAGGGTTTATCCTTTATGACCACTCCGTGGGAGGTGCCCGAGGGGCCGGCAGGCACGATGCCAATCGCCTAGCTTTACCTAAGCTCTGCGTATGCGTTCTTTCCGCTCGCGAAGCTCGGGCCGCTTCGGGCTCCGCGTTACAGCTTTGAAACTGCGGGGGTACCGTTAACGAGGGTACCCTTTTTACGGTATCGCAGGGTAATAGTCCTGAGCTCTCATGACAGTAACGTTTGCAATCAATCGACAGCTTCGCTTGTCGACAGCACAGCGCTTTTCTAAATTCCTGTAGAATCCCGTTTCCGTGTTCACGGCTTGTCCCTGCAAGTTCTTGATTCGAGGTTGACGATTGCCACATTGTTGCTTGGCCACTGCTCACCACCACTTTCAGCTGCAGCACCACTATCTCTGCAGCGGACGGACAGCAGCTTTGGTCGGTAGCAGCGGTAGCAGCACCATCAGCAGCATGTCGACAATCAGCCGCAGTTACATCCTCTATCATCGTTGTACCACCAATATACGCCTTCACATCTCCACACTATCACGTCATGAGATGAAAGCATCGATGCACCATCGTATCAACATATCATATCGTCGTCATCATCACCACAATTAGAACAACAGCTTCGCGTCGCGACCTCACTAGTGCTTTCATCGTGATTGACATTGTTCCTGCTGCTGGAGGTGCTGCTTCTGCTGCAGCTGCACGAGATAGATTGTAAGAAGAAGGCCAAGTAAAGCAGTAGCAGTTTGTACCAGCAACGACAAGAACAAGAGCGCCGAAAGGACTAGCAGCAGGAAGTTGGAGACTGCCAAAATTCCGACGAACGAGAACGAAGACAGGTGCCGTTGCTAGTACTATTACGGTTACGACTAACCGGCAAGCCTGTGCACCAGGTCCCACCCTTGCGCCTCTCCACGCTTCCTGCTTTCGACGACCAGGTCTCCTGGGATTGTGAGCAATGACACGTAACATAGGTGCTTGAATAGCTACCGGAAAGCATTTCCTAGGGTTCCTTATCACAAGTATATTGTAGCATAAATCAGAATCCTATAGGCACCTATAGTAAAGACTTCCGAAGTGGGTTTCAAGTTCGAGCCGCTTGTGTTCAAGTTTTGCAAGATGTGCAGGCTAAACCAACACCCCTAAACTTTGAACCGTAAATCCTACACCCTACACCCTCAACCCTCAACCCTAAACCCAGGGCTTTATGTGCGAGAGCTTCCGGGGTCGGAGGGACTCGGACACCGAGGGCGACGGGAGTCAGCAGGGCCTGCTGCGCTAAAAACCAGAAGCCTAGAAAGCTCCAAAATTAGGATTAGGGTTTAGGGCTCAGGGAAGAAATCGTCATTTTGGGTTTAGGGTTAGGGTTCGGGGTTTAGAGTTTCGGGTTTAGGGTGTCATTCTGAGAAGTTTGAGGCCGCAGCATGGCCCATCAGCCAGCAAGCCGCAACAAGCCTAGCTGGAGCGGACGGCAAGAGGTTAAGGGTTTAGGGTTTAGAGCACAATAGGCGCCAGGGACCTGCGGAACTTTTCACCAAGTGTGGACCCTTGAAGCATACAGGCTCCAGACGAAGCCCCGAGCCCCATCATCCCCCAAACACCCAAAGCCCTGAACCCTACACCACAAACCCTAAACCCCAAACCCTAAACCCTAACCCCAAAGCCCCATCAACCCTCAAACTGCCAGGGCAGCCTTGTGAACACGGATTCCGTGAGCTCCAGCTGCCAACGCGTCACCAGCGACAGCGAGGGTATGGAGAGCAGACTATCGCGCCTGTCCAGCAAAGGCAAGGGAGGGCTTAGATTTCGAAGTATATGATTATGAAATATTAAAACTACCACGACCACCACCACCACCACCACCACCACCACCACCACCATTTCCACGACTACTACTACTACTACTA